CCCCAAAAGACCCCAGCAAAAAGCAAACCAACCTCCCCCCCCCTCCCCTTACAAAACCACAGGTTTTTCTCACGTGAGAATCGAACTCATTTCCTTTGCAGCCAAAAATAAAGAGCGGAAGCATTACATAACCGACACCATGTCTCCTCCACCAAATGGTCCCATACCACACAATAACTGTTAGTTAGTGTAAGTTGTTTTGTTTTTTTGACGAGTCTCCCTCGCTCATAGCCTTCCGGTACGGGTGTGTGTGAACTTACTCAGCTCTGCCTCTTGGAAAAGCCAAATTTCAACACCGTCAAACAAAATAAAACAAATCGCTCGTATTTTCAGCAAAAACCCACCTTGGCGGAAGAGGTTTATAAATCTGCGCGCGCATGTTTTGCTTTCATTCCGTGTGTTATCAACAATCACAGTTGAGTGCAGACGGCACGTGCAGTGCCTGGCCTGTCACAGACGACCTAGTTTTTTTTGTTGTACACACTTATATTAGCCAGCCTTCCAAACTTCCTCCCTACAGCGGAGAAGGGGAAATAGGTAGTGGCGTGTGGGACTCCCATTTTACAGTTGGACAAATAAAAAAATAAAACAAGCACAGGCGAACACGTAACCATACAAACAGACGGCCAAACAAACAGCCTAAAACAGCCCACCCCCCCCAACCTAACACACCAACAACCCGAAAAAAACCCAACAAACAAAATCAAAGAAACAACAGAAACTAAAAAAAGACAACAGCAACAAAACTAGCAGTAAAAAAATCCTTTGTAAAATACTGTTTTTTTTTTGTCGTATGGAGAAGCAATTATTTTTCTTAAGAAGACAACGAGCGTTAACGAGATTTGAGCATGTATACTGAAGCTCGCGCTACACAACAGAGGTACGTTGAAATAAAGATAACGGATTTCTCTTTTTCTTTCCTAAAATACGACTAATCTATTAGGTTAATTTCAAAGACGAACCTCAATGGGAAATTTCAATGGTATATTTCTTTGCAATACCAACATTTTCCCTAAAATTCGGCAAAAAAAGATGTAATTTAGAAATGTACCAACACTGAGATAAATACTTTCCTAAAGGGGGCATTACACTTTAAGTTAAAACAGACAGTTGTCCCTTCCCTTTGTGATACATCATGCAATCTTAGTAAAAGTACTTTTTTTTAAAGGATCTTCTAAAATCCAGTAAAAAATAAAGACCCCCCCCCCTCCGGCGGGTCATTTGGTTAAAATTTGATACGCCGGTTCCGAATAAATAAGATGTACGTTTATAAACGAGAATTCTATCACCAGCATGCATCAAACACCCCAGCTATCGGACAGTCCCGCTGTCCTCCGTCGATGAAAGTTTCGTTTACAAACTTCTTGAAAACTACGTCCTATAAATATAAGGGCTGATCACTAGAGTTTATACTAGAGAGAAAAAGAGCAGGAGGGTTGACTAAAGGACGATGGATGTTTGGTAGGGAGAAGGAGCAAACTGCACCAGAACACCCACAAACACCAACCACCCGTCTGAGCAACGCAACAGACCGACAAGACAACAAAAGCTCTGCTCCGTATGGTTCTGGTACCCCTCCCTCCCCCAACAAACGTCTTATTATAACTCACTCAACAAATACAAGTTAAAACAAAAGAAGTACTCTGCATGGTACTGGTCACTAGACTTCATAATATATATAATTACTCACGCAACGAATCTTGCGGTCACATCCGTGTTTCCGTAGGGCACTGCTCTCCGCAAACTTCTTGCACAGGTCCCAACACTGAGGAGGCAGAAAAACCGAAAGCAAACATTATTTACAGTGTTAAAACAAGCACACTGACACGATAATGGCTTTTTAGTGCTTGCGAAAAAGTGAGACAGAAATAGTAAAGATTTGGCTGGATATTTGGGGAGGCAGGG